CTTGATAAACCAAGGAGCAATGTAAATATTCATATTGAAAGATTTATTTTTTTAAGCTTTTATTTATGGTGATTCAACACTTCCATACACCTGGTGCTCATCACAAGTGCCCTCTGTAATCCCCATCACCTATTCCACTGACTGATGAAGAGGATGATATACATACACACAATGGAATATTACTCAGCCATAAAAAAGAGTGAAATTTGCCATTTGCAACAACATGGATGGAAGTAGAGAGGATTATGCTAAGCAAAATAAGTCAGTCAGAGGAAGACAAATACCGTATGATTTCACTCATATGTGAAATTTAAGAAACAAAGCAAACAAGCAAAAAAACCAAACCAAACCAAACAAACAAAAAAACCCAAAAAACAGGCTCTTACTTATAGAGAACAAACTGATGGTTACCAGAGGGGAGGTGGGTGGTGGGATGGGTGAAATACATTATCTGGAACTTTAAAAACAAGCCTCACTAAAAATTTTTTTCACTAAATATTTTTTAACCTTGGATAAGTTGCTTGACCTTTTTATGAATCAATCTCCGTAATTATAAAGTGAAAGGGTTAGACTGGATAATTTATTCCAAGATACATATATAACCCCATATGATTTTTCTAAAGATATCTGCATGGCTCCCTCCTTTACCGGCTTCAAGTACCTGTTCAAACTTTCAGTGAGACCCTACTCTGACTAGCCAAATTAATTATCATCCCACAGTCTACTAACATTCTACACACTTTTTTTCCATTTATACTCTTTGTGCTTCATTTTGGCAAGTTTCTACTGCTAGGTCTTCAAAGTTGATTTCTTCTTCTGCAATGTCTACTCGAGTGTTAATTCACCCAGTCAGTTTCTCCCTTCCCATATATTTTTCAACTCTAGAGTCGGGCTTGGTTCTGTATTATATCTTCTATTTCCCTCCAAAATGTACTCAGCTTTCCTTAAATACCTGATCACAGTTATAATTACCCATTTGAATGTACAAGTATTTAATACATCTGCTAACTCTATCATCTATGCCATTTCTTAGTTCATTTCTATTGGCTTATTTTTCTTCTGGTCATAGATTCCTACTTCTCTGCATCTCTATTGGTTTTTTGATTGAATGCCTGACATTGTGCTTTTAAGTTGCTACATGTCTGGATCTTCTTACATTCCTCTTAATAGCGTTGGGCTTCATTTTGCCAGCACTTAACTTACTCACTGTTTTTGTTGCTTCAGAGGCTTTTTAAAATTTGCTTAAGATGAGTCTAAGGTAGCCTTTACATTTTCAATAGTTTAGATCCACTACGGAGGCATGGCTTTTCTAAGGTCTCTTCTGAATGTCCTGAATAATCATCGGGATTGTATACTATGACAATAGGAACCTGAATGCCTTCCAGCCCTGTGTGAGCTCTGGGAATCATTCAGATCATGGTTCCTCGGTCATCCTTTGCCCAACTGTGCAGAGTCTCGTTCTATGCATGCATGGCTTACTACTTAGCAAATACTCAATGAGAACACTGTTCCTGATTTCTGGAGCTCTTCTGCTACACAGCGTTCTCTCTCTAGAATTTTACCCCATGATCTGCAGTATTCTCCACCTCCTACTACTTCAGTCACTCTACCTCCCTAAACTTCAATTCAGCAAGACAGCTGAGCTCAGCTTAATATATTGCACCCTGTTCTGTGGTCTGGAATGTGCCTTTAGCCATAAAGCAGGGCAATCCTAAGGCTCAACTGCTTTGTTTCCTTTCTATGACGAATCACAGTCCTGTACCGCCTATTGTCCAATGTCTAGAAGCTTTTTTCTCCCATATATTTGGACAAGTTTCTTAGTTATTTATAGCAGGAATATAAATCTAGTCCCTGATATACCATCATGCTCAGAAGCTAAAGTTCCATACTTTAAAATTGTGGCGTTATCTACTAAAATTTACATCATTAATTATCATACCTCTATTTATTATTATCTTGGTAGTAGTCAAGAAGTCAAATTAAAAGGCCTTCTATTATTTTAACCATGTACTTACAGTGCTTTGGACTTGAGAAGTAATACATAAACATGTAAGATAAAAATAGCTGGTATTTTTTAAAGAACTATCATTTATGGAGCATCCTGCTTTTAAAAGTTTTCATCTCCATTACAGATGTTTTCATCAAGAGCTCCAAATTAATTTTCATAACATTTCCAAAACATAGGGTAAACAGATGTCATAGCTTTTAAGGGTTTGCCTGTTTTCAAAAATAGGTTCTCTAGAAGATTACTTAGAATTCTGTGATAATACATTATCTTCATGTGAGACATGCTTTTATTCTGGCTTGGCCTGCCCTATGTGCCTGTATCACTGAAATAGTGTTGTTCTGCTGTCAACACATTTCCAACCATCAAACATATGTTCTCCCTGTAGCCAGCTATTTAACATTGGTTAATTGTGATTGGAAGAGGAAAATGTGTGCTTCTTGTTGAATAATCACCAAGCAAAATCAAGGCCATGCAGTATCACCAAGCTTTGGCCTTCATGTGCCAAAAACACTACATAATTGTTGGGGATGAACTTAAGACCAAGACTGGAACTTAGGTTGAAAATATGAAAACTCATTCTAATAAGAATTCAGGCATAAATTAACACTGACAGTTCTTCACTGTAAAATTCAGTTAAAAAATTTAAATGTGCATTCCATAATAATGTGAATGTATTTAAGACTAACTGAACTATACAATTTAAAGGTTAAGATAGTAATACTAAAAAAACAAACAAGATGTGTAAAAGGTTATGAATGCATTACCAAATTCACTACAGTTTATGATGCAATTAAATAATGAGTACAACAATGGTAACTTCATTTAGCAGTAGATACAGAGGACTCATAAAACATTTTTTAAATTAAAACTGAAACAGGAACAGACTCTAATTAAAAATAGAACTGAAATTTTTGAAACTTAAGAAAATGATTAGCACAGAGCATTCTCAAGAAAGCACTACCACCAAGGTTTCCAGAGAAGTAAAAATAGTGAGCATTCAAGAAGGAAGATACACAAATCATAAAGAATAAATGTCTATGATCATAATTTCTATATAGCTCTGTGTCATGTAATTTCATTTAAATCTAAGCATTTTCTCTCACCTATATTTATCCTTAACAATTATTTTAAATCAATCATCAAGTGTGATTTAAAGAACACAACTAAATAGTAAGCAGGAGGTCAGAATATGTGGTTAATATGCATACAAGATTAAATTTACTTTTATCAAATGACTCTTTAGTAGACATTTTATTTATCAAAAGGTGATAATTATATGGGGCACCTGGGTGACTCAGTCCTTTAGGAATCCAACTCTTGATTTCAGCTCAGGTCATGATCTCAGGGTCATGAGAATTAGTCCTGCATCAGGGCTCCTCTGTGCTGGGCATGGAGCCTGCTTAAGATTGTCTCTTTCCCTCTCCCTCTATCCCTTCCCCGCTACAAAAAAAGGTGATATTTATAAACCTTTATATAAATTAACAGTTCAGGAGATCTAAAGTATAAAATTTAGCATAGTATCTAAAGGAAATAATACCTAATTCTGTATTAAAAATTCAATACTTAAGTTACAGATCAGCTTCCTATGTTACAAAAATTGGTATTTTTGTCATCTGATAAAGAAAATCTCAACAGAGTAAAAGGTTTGTGGATGCTGACAGGTGGAAGTCTAATAATTTCACAAAATAAACATAACATCGACACTTTAGGAGAAGTAAAATAAGAGGCATAAAACTTCACAAAAACAAATGTTACCATTTTATTGTTGTTGTTAAATATGGTAAAAAAAATAGTACTTTTCCTCTAAACTATAAATGTTAGTTTGATTTATAATATTTTAAATTCCTTAAGGGCATGGATCATGTCTCATTAATATATACACTCAGTAATATCACAACAGAGTTTTGCCCATTACAGACATTCAATGAGTGGTTTTTAATGTACTGAAAATATAAAACCTTTTCCAATACGGTTTTGGAATACAGGAGTCATATGAAATAAAGCTTAGTATCTAAGGAAAAATATAAAATCTCCTGAAGATAGGTGACTATCATCACAAACATTACAAGTTAATGAGGAAAACGGCACTTAAATGCAATCATAAAGTGCTTTTTTTAACTACACAAATGGGGATTTAAAGACTGTCTTACGGAAGAATATGTTCTATATTTGCAGAGATTATCTAGCTGAGAGAAGGGAAAGGGAGAAAAGTGAGATATATTGTGTTTTGCAAGAATTCACTTTAAGAAAGAACATATTAGGGCGCCTGGGTGGCTCAGTCGTTAAGCATCTGCCTTCGGCTCAGGTCATGATCCCAGGGTCCTGGGATCGAGTCCCACATCGGGCTCCCTGCTCGGCAGGAAGCCTGCTTCTCCCTCGCCCACTCCCCTGCTTATGTTCCTGCTCTCGCTATCTCTCTCTCTGTCAAATAAATAAATAAATAAAATCTTTATAAAAAAAAAAAGAAAGAACATACTATTGGGAGACGGTTTCTCTATGGGTCTCTAGTGTTTTTGCAAGTCTTAAAAGTAGAGACAGTGAGTGCTTTTGTGCCCAGTTGTGTTTTCAAGGATATCTGTACAGCATACAGCCTAAAAAGACAGATACTGTCCTCCTTTTGAGCGAAGGCTAAAGGCCTTGCAAGTTACAAATAGTGCCTCCCTCCAGAGAAAATGGCAGGCATGTTTTCTACCAATTATAACAAGTTCAGGTTCCCTAATTGAGGGTTTCTCTCCTCTAACATAATCCATTGTGTATAGGTAACATCTGACCTTCTTGGTGCCACCCTGTGGGAATCAGGCTTAGGGCAGGGACACAAGAAAATGCTGATACCCTGGGTTACTGCTAATGCTGTAAGATAATAAAGTCCTTTGTCTCCATTCCAGGAGTCTCGTCTCTTTGGCTGGCATGCATGATATTGTGGCCCAGATAACTTGATAACTTATTAGAGTTAGGGTAAAATCACAGACCCTTTAGAATTCTTGACACATACCTGTTACTGTTTTTGTTTTTATAGGGCTACTGGCATATTCAGAGGCCTGATATGACTGCTGCTTTGCCAGGGGCGCACTTCCAACAGACACCTCATCCTCTTTCCTTCTGCTAATTGGCATAACAAGAGGAACAGCTACGACAGGCTGCTGGAGAGAGGCGAATGAAACATTGAATTATTTACTATTTCTTAAGCAGTGAAGGTTAAACATGGCAACATTGAGGAAAATCCTTCATAAGTGGTGTTGAAGTTAAAATACCAATCAGTCAATCTGTACCTCTCTCAGTTCTTCCCTCTCTGTCTGTCTGTCTTATACACACAAATTCACACAGGGACACTTAGTTTCAGTGTGAAATTACAGTTGTGTGTGAAAACTAAGACAGCATGGAAATAAACGGAATTTAAAATAAATTTCAGAAAGAAGCGTAAAGATAATATGGTAAAGGCAAATCAAAACTACAATTAGCTTTGAAAATTATAATTAGTAGGAAATAAAAAGTTATCCTTATCAAATGATATTTTAGGGACATACTTCTATAAAGTGATTAATTACATGTTACAGTTCAACTTAGTAAGGAATTGCTGAAAATCTCTACATTTTGTCTGACAAAGTGATATACACAGCATATTTAGAAAGCATAGAAAAGTATCCATAGTTAGAGAAAGCTGGAAAACATTACGATCCTATATTGAATGTGTGAGTGCTAAATTGGACAATAAAGCAGCTGTTTCATCTTTATTCACTGCAATAAAGTCTGATGTTACTGCTGATGACGCCCAATACAATCTTGTCAGATTTTTGGCAAAAAAGTATTTTTTAAGTTTGCTGCAGGATCAAAGATCAATGTTGAACTGGGTGGAAAACAATCATCAAATGTTGGGTTTTAGCCACAAATTGAGAAGGAAATTGCAGCCTGGGCAGCAACAGCTGATAACTGTAATACAGCTGCATCAGATGGTAACTCTGGAGGGGCTAGTCGAGCAGCAATGGAGTCTCACGTTACTCTCAACAGCACAACCATCACATTTTTAAAGATCCACCTTTAAGCCTCACTCAACCTTTATTACTTATTTAATATTAATTAGATTATAAAAATATTCCAATCAGAACATAGGTACATTATCTAACTATGTAATATAATCAATCAAGTTATGAGATAGAGGGGAAAAAGGCAAATTATTTTAAAGTTGCTACTTAAGCTGAGTAAAAGGACAAGAAAGCTGATAATGAGAAAATGGAAAGATTAAATATATTTGTGGGAAACATCACAATGTATAGTACCTGCTTTCATATTAAGAATTTAGTAAAACTGGTAATATTTATACAAATCTGAATAGGAAATAGTATTAAGACCTAGATGAGAAATGTTCAACATATTGTTAAGTTTTGGTGCATTTAAAATTCCTCAACTATAAAATATGGGAGTGGAGATGTCTACTTATGTTCTAGCATTTAGTGATCCCATAATCCCTTGAATTTCTTGCCCATCACTTATAAACCTGGAATATGACCAAGTACTCCAAAAAATTACAACTATGTTCTGATTCAAATTAATGTATTAGAGAAAAATTAAGTTCTGCATAGTGTGATGTTTAATTCAAGCAAAACAGCTGAAAGATGAGATTCATAAAAGCCGTAATATTGGTAATACCCCAAAACAAACAAAAAAATCCTTCCTTTTGGTGGCTGAAACTGGGTGCATTTTCAGAAAGGCATTCTTTAAGGATTCGTTAAAAGCCCAAACAAAACCCTTCCTAACAAGACATCAGGCTCTGATAGGTCTTCTACAGAACCGTATTCCAAATACCTACAATGGTGTCCAAAAGACTCTCCATAAATATTTGCTGAATGATTGTTTTTTTTGTTTTTTTTTTTAAAGATTTTTTTTTTTATTTATTTTTTTGACAGAGAGAGACATAGTGAGAGCAGGAACACAAGCAGGGGGAGTGGGAGAGGGAGAAGCAGGCTTCCCGCAGAGCAGGGAGCCCGATGTGGGACTTGATCCCAGGACCCTGGGATCATGACCTGAGCCGAAGGCAGACCTTAACGACTGAGCCACCTAGGCACCCGCTGAATGATTGTTAATATAGATACTACATGTCAGGCATGAAGAGATACTGGATAGAGAGTAAGATGATTTGATTTCTTCCACTTTTCTGGAAATATGGCTATCCCAGTCAAAAATATAAAAATAAACAATATTTATTTTTAGCAACCTTCCATTTTTCTACTAATATTCTTCTACCTTCTGGTACTAGATAGTCCCTCAAATATCAGTTGTGTGCTAGCCCCAGATTTCTCCTATCCTGACGCATCAATATCCCATGAGCTCAAAATACCTAAAAGCTTTTGTTACTCTTCCTATAAAATTCTCCCTTTATTAATTTAATAAATGTAAAAGTATAGGAAATTATAAAGAAAAAAACATCCACATTCTCATTACATCCAATAGTTATTGGCTATTTACATTTTTATCATATTTCCTTTTTTTTTTAAAGAGACCAATGAAATATTACAGATAAGGCTAAAATCCCTCTAACTGCTAGCCACCTGCCCATTCCTGCTAAGCATGGAGCCCAATGTGGGGCTTGATCCCAGGAATGCAAGATCATGACCTAAGCCGAAGACAGACACTAAACTGACTGAGCCACCCAGGCCCCTCAATACATGCCTTTAACTATTAATTACACTTTCAAAAATATATTCTAAGTGAATACTTAAAAAAACTCAAAGATTTAGCTACGAAGATATTTATCCCAATATTATTTGTAACTCTGCATGAGTAGGATTATGGGTATTTATTACTTTTACTTTTAAATAAAACTATTATTTTTGAACTTAGAAAAACATTTTTAAATATATATTTACATTTAATTTTAAAGTTATAAAATAATATAATAAAAATAAAATTAAATATCAAAATCTTTAAAGGTATCAATCAAATGAATCAATCTACTTAAGATGCTAGAACAACAACAACAAAAAGATGCTGGAATATTATTTGACCTTCAGAGATATCTCTAGTGTACTGGACATAACTGCATCATTTATAAAATAACCAATGAGAATTTACAATACAACAGGATATTATTCAGCCATAAAAAAAAAAGGAAGTCTTCTCATTTGTGACAACATGTATGGACCTAATAAGACAACTAGGCTAAGTGAAATAAGCCAGAGAAAGAAAAATGTCATATGATTTCACTTATATGTGGTATATTTAAAAAAAAAAAAAAAAAAAACTCATGGGGGCAGTGGAAGTGAATGGGGTGAAAAGGTACAAACTTCCGTCATGAGATGTAATGTACAGCAATATGACTATAGTTAATAGTACCATATTGTATATTTAAAAGTTGCTAAGGGAGATCTTAAAAGTTCTCATCACAAGGAAAAAAATTTGGAACTGTCTGTAGTGATGGATGTTAACTACTTATTGTGGTGATAATTTCACAATATACACAAATATCAAATCATTATGTTGGGGCGCCTGGGTGGCTCAGTCATTAAGCGTCTGCCTTCGGCTCAGGTCATGATCCCAGGGTCCTGGGATCAAGCCCCACATCGGGCTCTCTGCTCGGCGGGAAGCCTGCTTCTCCCTCTCCCACTCCCCTGCTTGTGTTCCCTCTCTCACTGTCTCTCTCTCTCTCTCTGTCAAATAAATAAATAAAATCTTTAAAAAAAAAAAATCATTATGTTGTACACCTGACAACTAACATGTCAATTACTACTCAATTAAAAGAACTTACACCTAAAATATTTCTCAAATGCTCCCTGAAATTAGTGTCATTGACTATTAAGATGGATTTCTATGCAATTGCTGGTAAAGCAGCGACACTGGAGAGACTAGTTTAGGTGGTCCTATTTTTTAATGGCCTATTTTCCCTCAGAGTGCCTAGATGTTCGTTCTGAGCATCTGATGCAGAAGAACTGCATAGTAAATGTTCGCTTTCATTTTTATTATCTCTGTATTTCCTCCTCATCTTTAGTTTTATTCAACATTCTGTTAGATTAAACTTCCTAAAATTCAAATCTCTTTATATCAGGTTCCTACAGTTCTTTACCCTTCAGGATGAAGTCACAAACATTCTGTATTACAAAAAAAATCTTTTATGAACTGGCTTCCAATTCCTACCAGCCTCTATAAGAACAATTGGCTCTAGTCTGGAAACACTGAAGGTCCCTTTCTTACCAAGTTAATGCTTTTTTTTTTTCTCTCTGCTCACACAGTTCAGTTTACAGCAAACTTCCTGGTCTGGTTTACTCCTATAATACTCAGCTCAACTGTCTTAATTTCTCCTTTTAACAACCTCACCTGCCTGTGAGAACTATTCTTCTTTATCTTTTTCCACATAATCCTGTGTGGATCTAACATAGCAATTTCTAAAAATGGCATTACTATATTCCTTCATATCCTTAAATACAGTAAGTACCTCTAGAGGGAGGGATATGCTAAAAATTAACTTTTATTTCTGTAGCCCCAGTATCTAGCACAATGTCTCATGGTCTCTAACTATTTGATAAAAAAGAAGAATGAAACTGGGAAATGGAAGCTCTAGTTTCAAATGAAATTAAGACAGGGTGAAGAAAATCCTTTAAAAGATGCTCCTTGAGGCATGGGTTGAAATATTCTGTCACTGTCAATTTTTTATTGTCTTATTTAATTATAAAATTGTGTATTTTTCTATCAACTAGCTTTAAGTTACTTCAGAAAAAAGATGCAGCACTCCCTTTGGCAGCACATAATCTAAAACTGGAACAATACAGAGAAGATTAGCATGACCCCTAAGCAAGGATGACAGGCAAACTCATGAAATGTTTTACATTAAAAAAAAAGATACAAAGTTATTCCAATTAGAGTACTATAAAATTACAATTAAGTCAATGGGAAAATGCAATGCAAGGTAGCATACATTTGGCCTGAAAAACATTTAAGTTCTGCCATTTACTACATGTGACAATAGGTAGGTAAATGCCAATAAGCATCAGTTTCTTCATTTTTAAAATGGGAATAATAAAACCTGTCTGTAAGAATTCCATTTAAGCATCGTGAGATAGAGAATTTACGCACGCCAGAAACTACAATTAGCTACTTTTTACTTTGTAATTTATACCCTCTTAAATAAGCATATATCCCAACTCTTTTATACCAACCATCCCAATCCAGGGGTTTGGCACTCTGAATACTTGTTGAGTAAACCTAAAGATGAAGAGGAAATACAGAGATAATAAAAACAAAAGCTAACATTTACTACACAATTCTTATGCATCAAACACTCAGAACAAACATCCAGAACAAGTCAGTAAAATAGGACCACCTAAACTAGTCTCTCCAGTGTTTCTGCTTTACCAGCAATTGCACAGAAATCCACCTCAATAGTCAATGAAACTCTATTTGAGCTGTAATTACTGTTTAGAAATGAAGGAATAGAATTGCTTGAAAGGGGTAGAGTGGAGGACAAAGGAATTGTGGTACATCCATTAAAAAAATCAATTCAAACAATACGTAACTCTAACAAATGACTGAGAAAAAGATTTATTCATTAAGAGAATAAATTATAAAATTTCTCACCTGCTGCATATGTCTACTGGTTCGTTTCTGCGGCTGATAAATGAGCCAGGTGTATAAGACTGGATCAATATTAACTGCTACTCCTTGTACACTACAAAGAAGTACAGCACCTAAAAATCAAGATTTTAAAATTGTGTTAATTTCTTATACAAAATAGTAAGCTTTATATCACTTCACACCAAGTAGGACAGCTATAATAAAAAGACAAATTAACAAGGGTAGACAAAGATGTGGAGGAATTCAAGCCCTCATATACTGCTTGTGGGAGCATAAAATGGTGCAAATACTTTCAGAAACACTTTGGCATTTCCTCAAGAAGCAAAAATACAGTCACAAAATGACCCAACAATTTTATTCCTAGGTATGTACCAAGAGAACTAAAATCATATGTCCACTCAAAAGCTTGTACCCAACTTTTCAAAGCAGGATTCATAATAGCAAAAGATGGAAATGACACAAATGTCCATGAATGGCTGAATGGATAAGCAAAATGTGGTATAGCCATATAATGGAAAATTATTTGTCCATCACAAGGAATAAAGTACAGATTCATGCTACACCACCTTGAACACATGTTAAGTGAAAGAAGCCAGTCACAGAAAAGCACATACTGGATGATTCCACTTACATGAAATGGCTAGAACAGGCAAAAACCACAGAGAAAAAAGGTGGGATTAGCGGATGCCAGTGCTTGCAGGGAGGAAAGAATGGAAAGTAACTGCTAACAGATATGCGGTTCTTTGGGGAGTGATTAAAATGTTCCAGAATTAGAAAATGGTGATTGTTGCACTACCTTGCAAATATACTAAAAACCATTAAATTATGCACTTTAAATAATGAATTTTATGGAAAATGAATTATCTCATTAAAAGTGAGTATGTCTACCATATGATTTCACTCATATGTGGAATTTAAGAAGCAAAACAGATGGAACATAGGGGAAGGGAAGGAAAAATAAAATAAGATAAAAACAGAGATGGAGGCTAACCATGAGAGACTCTTAACTACAGGAAACAAACAGGGTTGCTGGAGGTGAAGGGCGTGGGGGATGGGGTAACTGGGTGATGGGCATTATGGAAGGCACTTGATGTAATGAGCACTGCGTGTTATATGCAACCCATGAATCACTGCATTCTATCCCTGAAACTAATAATACAGTATATGTTAACTAAATTGAATTTAAATAAAAAAAATTTTTAAGTGAATATGTCTTTAATAATAAGCAGCTTTATTTTTTAGGCAAAAAGCAATTTCTATATTGGTCATGAGAACAGAATATTATCTCCCTTTTTTGTTTATATTACAAACTTAATTCACAATGTGAAAGGAAGGATTATTATAACCATTCAATAAATCACTGCAAATTACAGCTTTAAACATTCAGAAGCAAGATGTTCATCTGCCTAGATGAAACACAGGCTAACATTCTGACATAAAACACAAAGCTGAAGTGTAACAAGTTGCAATTCCATTCTAGGAAAGTATTTTAGTCCCCCTCTGATAAAAAGCCAACTCACATCGGACTTAACCAAAGCTTAATAACCCATTCATAATTTATGTGCAGGTTCTGTGCATTCCATAAATACATTTTTGTGTTTCTACATATATTTCTTGATAAAATATTATTAGCTCTATTGGGGTATATGGAGTATCAAGTAAGAGGTATTTTTCAATGTTGTTCTCAACTATATCTCCCAGTAGCTAGAAAAGTAACGGCCATATGGTAGGAATAGAGAGACATAATAAAGAGTAGATGAGTTCTCTGATTAGGTGCAAAAGCCCATTGGTTCTGTAATACTGCAGATTATCTAAACAATACAATTACTATTAGTACCAACTCCTATGAAAAGTGAACCACACAGAGATAGAGATAGAAAGATGGAGGGGAGTAAGCAAGAGAAATATCCCGTTTTAAAAACTTTTGCACAGAATTTTCAAACAATCAAAGATTGTCATGTGTATTCATCTTCCACCTTTCAGTGCTTCTGAATCTCCAGTGTAGACTCTTGCGCAGCATTCTGAGGCAAAAGCAATCCCATCCACTTCCATGTAACAATGCATGTGCTCCTGAGCAATGACTCACTCAAATACATCTCAGGAAGGAATGAACAGGACAAGCTAAATACAGATGACTGGAAAGGGGGAGTCATAACTGAAGTCAATTAGAAGATGCAATCTGATATACATATATGTATTTGCCGTAACGCATAAAAATTATTAAAATCTTTTAATTTAATTTAATTTTATTTTATTTTAAGATTTTATTTATTTATTTGATAGAGAGAGACACAGCGAGAGAGGGAACACAAGCTGGGGGAGTGGGAGAGGGAGAAGCAGGCTTCCCACGGAGCAGGGAGCCCGATGTGGGGCTCGATCCCAGAACCCTGGGACCATGACCTGAGCTGAAGGCAGACACTTAACGACTGAGCCACCCAGGCGCCCCTAAAATCTTTTAATTTTAAAGAAATTAATTACATACATTTAAATGGAGAGTTTAAATTTTTTATTTAAATTCAAGAATATATAATTCAATCTTAAAAGTTAAAAGACTTTTCCTAAATTCCATATAAAGAAATGAAATTAGGTTTAAATTACTATGCAGTGTTTCCTGCCACATAAGCCCACTGTAATATAATTTGTTTTATAATTAATATTACATAAATATTAAAGACACCACAAATTAATACATATTTAACAGTAAGAAATGTGTTCCACAAAAAGCAATTGCAACAAGAAAGAAGAACGTGGGGTCTAAGAGACAAAAGATCTAGCACAGGACAAAAGTGACAGGAATCCCCAAAATGACAACAGTAAATTAGTTACAGGTATGTGAAAAATGTAATAACAATATTTAAGATACATTTATTATTTATTTTTGAGAGAGACAGAGAGCAGAGGAAGGGGCAGAGGGAGAGGGAGAACGAGGACCCCAAGCAGGCTCCACGCTCAGCACAGAGCTGGATGCAGGTCTCCATCTCACGATCCTGAGATCATGACCTGAGCCGAAATCAAGAGTTGAATGCTTAACCAACTAAGCCACCCAGGCGCCCCCGGAAGAGCAATAAAATACAATTATTAAATACAGGAAAAACACATGCTATAAAGGAAATGATAACTAATTGTAGCATACAACATGACTGTACCATGAATAATATTTATAAACAGAAATACATAAATTCTGAAAAACAGATGCACTGATTAATCAAACATGATATAACAATTTTGAGAGTAGGTATATATAAGAGGAACGTGAGATGTGAGCAGGACAGAATTAAAGTTGGCCAAATATCATTTTCCATAGTAAGACCTCAATAAATTTTGCTCTAAAGTGACCAAGAAAGAGCAAGAAAAGTCATAAATTTTAAAAATTTTGTTTGAAAAGTCTCCAATTCACTGTCATGTAACTACCACAAATTATGATCTGTGAATGGTTCTCTTAACAAAAAATCAGCAAGCACTACAGAAAGCAAGCCACTGTGAGAGAGTCAGAAAAAGCAACCAACAATTTAGACTTTCAAGTACTGGAGATATTTGAATATAGAAAATAAACACCTATGTATAAACTGTTTAAAATACAAAAGTATGGTATCATGCAGAGTATCAAACAATGAGAAAGCATCAGGAACGAACATCTTTTAAAGAAAAATGGAAATGATAAAGATGACATAGTTAATTATTGGTGTAAAAAACTCATTGGGCAGGCTAAACAGCAGATCAGCTATAGCTGAAGAGAAAAAAAAAGTGAAATGGGGGAAGTGCACGAGCTCATTTAGAATGCATCTGAAAGAGAAAAATGAAAAATGATTATTAAAATGAGGTTAAGAGATATGAGCACTGAGTAAGAAGATCAAACATGTCCAGAGGGAGATACCAAAAACTGGGGAAGAGGCAATATTGTTAAAAACATAACAGCTGAGAATTTTACAAAATTGTTGAAAGACAGTAAGCCTCAAACCCAAGAAGCCCAATAAAACTAAAATGTATAATTAAAAATAAATGATTTCAAAACTACAATCAGATATCACCTAACACCTGTGAGAATAACTAAACTCAACAACACAAGAAATAACAGGTGTTGGTGAGGATGCGGAGAAAGGGAAGCCTCCTGGAACTGTTGGTGGGAATGCAAACGGGTACAGCCACTCTGGAAAACAGTATGAAGGATCCTCAAAAAGTTAAAAATAGAACAAACTACTATATGACCCAGCAATTGCACTACTAGGTGTTTACCCAAAGGATACAAAAATACTAATTTGAAGGGATACAGGGACCCCAAAGTTTATAGCAGCATTATCTACAATAGCCAAATGATGGAAACAGCCCAAATGTCCACTGACTGATGGATAAAGAAGATGTGCACACAATGGAATATTACTCAGCCATAAAAAGGAATGAAATCTTGCCATTTGCTAGACAGCATTATGCTAAGTGAAATAAGTCCAAGAAAGACAAATGCCATACGATTAAACTCACATGTGGAATTTGAGAAACAAATGAGCATAAGGGAAAAAAGAGAGGCAAACCAAGAAACAGACTCTTAACTATAGAAAACAAATTGATGGTTACCAGAGGGGAGGTGGGTGAAGGGATGGGTAAAATAGGTGATGGGGATTAAGGGGTCACCTGTGATGAGCACTGGGTGTTGTATGGAATTGTTGAAACACTAAATTGTACACCTAAAACTAATATTAAACTGTATGTTAACTGGAAATTAAATAAAAACTTAAAAAAATAAACATAAACATATTTTATTAAACAAAGTGGAAAGAAGCTACAAACACTGAAGGGAAAAGAAGATTAAAAAAAGCACCCCAAACAACAAGAATGATCACCTGGGGATTAAAAGCACAAAAAAATTGACAATCAGCTTCTTAGGAAAAAATAAATGGTGAGCACTGTGAATTCTGTAAGACTGCTGAATCACAGACCTGTACCTCTGAAACAAATAATACATTATATGTTAAAAAAAAAAAAAGAAGATAGTAGGAAGGGAGAAATGAAGGGGGGGAAATCGGAGGGGGAGACGAACCATGAGAGACTATGGACTCTGAGAAACAAACTGAAGGTTCTAGAGGGCAGGGGGTGGGGGGATGGGTTAGCCTGGTGATGG